CTCCCATATAGGATCCCTCTACACTTAAGTGTCCGCATTGCCACCGGAACCTTCGTCTCGAGCTGATTCCATGGAAAGCGAAATCTTTTGAAAAGGCATTGCAATCGGGTTCAGCTGGTACAATATGGGTGAAGAAGACAAAACCCGACCTGAACCACAGACACAACTCGTTTGAATTTCAAGCGAAGTTCGGGAATTAAGGGCTACTAACACGAATTACAAACCGTCCCCTTCTTTCAGCTCAAGCCTGGCCTACGCATACTCTGGTTGGATCAGTAAAAAATGGAGACAAAAAGTTTGGGCCGAAGCCCAATTTCTCTTGGACGGAAAAAGGTAAATGGATTGATCATATTGGGTCAAGCAAACAGGCTAAAAAACTTTTCAAGAAGCCCGGTAGTAGAGTCCAAACAACCAAAACATGTCTGGAGGCTCAAGCAGAAACCGACTTGAGTAAATCATTTACTTTCGGGTAAAACGCCATCACTATATTTCGACCAGGAAGCATAGAAAGGGTATAAGGACCATCTTCTGTGCGGGAGGAAAAACCCCTAAAAGTTGTAAACGGGAGACTCTCGGTTAGCTCGGCAGTAGCTCTTGCCATCGAAACATCCAACGATACCACTCTCGCTCCTGAGGGAACTGAGGTTTCTTGCTGCACGAATGGAATTTTAGGTGAGTGTTCTTCACCTTCCTCCCCTACTACATTGACAGGACTTGAGTTGGTTCTCATACCAGACTCGGTGCTCTCTTTGCCGCCAAACATGTTAGTTGAATTGTTTTGGCAATGATCGAGTCGGCTGATTCGGATGCTCATATTGACGAGCAATTCTATTCTACATGGGTTAGCGCAACATACTTAGGGTGAGTAAACTCTTGGGGAAGGATGTGAGGAGCAAGCGATGGCTCTATTTGCCATATTGGAGAAAAAAGCCCTTGAAAAAAAGAAAGGGGACAAGACTGCTGGTAAGGGTAAGAAAAAATCGATTGAAGGGGGAGCTCGAGAACTGAAAAGACTACAATTTTCCATAAAGTATAAAGGGAGAAGTAAAAATGCTCCCGGCAGTGGGGGAATGGTTTGATGAAATCAGATGATCACATATAATATCTTGGAATATCCCGGGATTTAAATGACTCAAAGAAAAGAAACATCATCAGGGATGCCTGAATCGGTGGAAACCAGATTTAATTTGCATACAGAAACTAAAATGACCTCCATCGACAGGAAAATA